TCGTGTACAGGAAACAAAAATGGAGTGGAGAGTTAGCCGACTCACTGCAACTTTGTAAAAAAAGGAGGGAAGCCCGGGCGACTATGTGATATGCTACGACGACATATTCTATTCCAAGCTCTGTTTCAGTTCCATACTCTAACTCTGCTGAACACCGGAAAAACTTAAATTTAGCTGAACAGCGGAAAAAAACTTAAAATTTATTAACTTTGAAAAAGGGAAAAAATCCTTCAGTTTAACATTTCTCGGGATGGGGTGTTTGACACAACAAGGTGGATAGCCTGGCGTTAGCCAGCGATCCGACTTTATATGAAAAGGAGGATGCCCGGCGTAGCCGGGCATTTCATAAGAAGGAGGAGAGCCCGGCGTTAGCTGGGCGATCCGACTGGTATAAACATAAAACATCAAAATACTAATCGATTGGACACAGTTGCATGTACTGTGATGATTCTAAATTTTCACATTTTGTCTTGTTTTTTTTTAGAAAGAACTAATAATAGCAATGCAAAGAAGCAAAATTGTACATCAATTCCGACCCACCGCTCATGAGGAACGAGTTGATATCGATGCTCCTTTTACGCTGAACGGAAGATGACGACCTAGGTCCGGAAACGAGCGGAAAGAAAGGCGCGGCGTGGGGAACATTTGAGGAAGGAGTGATGAAGATGATGAAAAAGAGATCCAGCTTTGCTCTTACGTTTTCATACTACTTTGACGTGCGCCTCAGGGACTTTCACTCATCAGAAACGGACGAACATGCAGTCATCACCATTCAACGCGCCGTCGGAAGGGTAATGCTCGGAATTTCCCTACACAGGCAAGAGCAGAGGGGATGTCGCAGTCCTGAGCTTTAACACAGATCGGGTGAGCTGGACACATTATGCGATACTGTGATGAACGTTTGACAGGGTGATTACTGGCTGGAACCAGCGTCACTCCGAATGAATAACAAGTACCCAGCCAGCGCGATGATCAGACTTCTACATAAAAATTTTGAACGAAAGGAATGCAGTGCCTCGGGCCGTCGAGAGAAGACTATCCCCTGGACCGCTCTGTCTCGCAAAGTGGCTTATGGAGACGTTACTGGCGTCTATTAATGCGTCATTCTTTGCCACTCCCTACCACCTTTACCTTGCTCTGCCTACTTATGCTGTATATGATCAACAATCAACGCCAAGGGCTCAGGTCCATAACAACGAAAATTAAAACTCCCGATTTTTTACACATTAAATATTGTGAATTAGCGAAATAGTCTGACAGTACCTCAGCGGTATTAGGAGCATTAGGAGCAGCAGGAGCGGGCGGAGCTTCCCCAGTTTCCATCGACTCAGCAGGAGCAGGAGCGGTCTCAGCGGGAGCGGGAGCCTCTGCCTGAGATTGAATAAAAATCGAATTCTAGTATGAAAGCACATTTGGTACAACAAAGAAGACACTTCATTGATGAAGCAAGTTTAATATTCAATATCCATCTAATTCTGTTTTGGTTGAGCCCATAACCACGAAAATGATTCAGAACAACTAAAGCGTTCGGGAAGAACCTAGACTTTTCTGGGGATATTCTGGAAAATTTCATGAAAATGCTATGTACGGACCCTACCCGTAAGCGCATAACATATACCGAATTGTCCCTGTAGTCATTTCCATTATAGCTTCAAAAACAGTCACTCTGTGGCTGCAAAATCTCGAAAATTTTCAAGAAATAGAACATGAAGCCTCATCTAAGCGGCCTGTGTTGGCCTGGTTTCTACGTTTAAAAGGTGGAAACGAGAAATTTGGAAATAAGCCTCGCCATTGTACACCCACTGAGATATCACTTGACGAGCCGGATGTATTATGCGGATACAAGAAGATAGTTTCTTGCATAGTACTTGGATGTGAATTTCCAAAACATCAAAGAAAAACCCGGACTACTGCGGATTTTTGAACATGCACGTTCCAAGGATGAACGAGTTAAATCAATTGAACCAGATGAACAAACTCACAGGTGCCGGAGCAGACTCGGTTGCAACGTCAGCCATACCTGAAGACAAGAGTTTAAAAACCGATTCTATCCATTTCAAGGAAGAATCTACGAGATGCGAATCGATGGAATCAGCCATGCACGATAACGACTAATAGATGCAGCTTTTTTAGAGACCATTCCCTAATTCTTTAAATCTCAAATCCTCAACAAAACCTAGAAAAACGTAGGGCCGTGATAGTTATGCGTGATCATAGCTACTACAACACTGACGAGTAGAGGCAGGCGATGAGCAGCCCAATTCGAATCCGTTCCACGATCTTAACCTAGTGTTTACAGCTAACACCTTTA